TATTCCCAGAAGATTTTTTAAAGAGATAAAACACTTAAAAAGTAAACTCTAGTGAACAAAAAGTGATGAATTGAAAATGTGAATGGGTTAGCAATTATTTGTTCCATTTATCTGACATATTAAAACAGATGTGGAGATAATATTCACAGATAAAAGAAGAAAAATATGTAAATGTTATAAACGTTATCACAAAAGTGGTAGCACAGAAAAGGTGACAGGTGATGAATGTGAATGCCTCTGTTGAGTTCATCATCTTTTATGGCTGAGGTCAAAAATAATTATATCTGAAAAATATTTTAGATTTGTAAATAATTTTAAATTATTTTCAAACTATTTGAAGTTGGAAGCAGCAAGATAAATAATAACAGAATTAAATCGGACAGCACAAAGATGGGGTGAGGGAACAGCAAAAATGGAAATATGCTAAACATTTTCAAAACAGACTGAAATATCAAGAAATTTAAAAGTCAAATGACAAAGTAGACAAATATTTGCAACATATGTCACCAGTCACTAATAGCAAGCTTCTACGAATGATAGAAATAACATTAGCAATTCAAGAGAATTTGGGCAAGAATATGCAAATTATTAAGCAAATCCAAAACATAGGAAAATCCATAGAACAAATGATTTGTTTCTAAAATGAATAAATTGCATGAAACCAAAAGATTAAGAACTGCTATGAATTAAAAGATCCATAAGAGCTGAATAAACCCACTGTAATGCGCTCATCTTTTTAGAAACCTAATTTTAAAAAATTAAAAAGACATTTCTAAAACACTGAAGATATTATCACATCATTGAGTATCAAATATTAGATTGACAACTGCTAATTTTAGTTAGTGATGATAATATTGTAGATTTTGTTTTTCAAGGTCTGTTAGAAAACCATGCTGAATTACTGAAGGCTCAATGGATACGATATCCGAGATTGGGTTTCGAGTATGCCATAAAAATTGTAGCAAAGAAAAGTGGCAGGAGCAAAGATGATAATCATTTTTGAACCCAAGAAACAAGTCTAAGTGAATTCATTACACCATTATCTCTACTTCTGTATATTTGGAGTTTTTATTGCATACATTTTTTTTTTATTTTTAAGGTGACTACTCTTTATTAGGTGTTTACATTTTGAATTTTAACTTCCTTTGACAAGTTAAGTTTTATAAAATTTTATATAATGAATACTCAATTTATAGGAGAAATTAATTTAACATTTACAAATATAAAGATTCATCACAGATTTTCCATTTAATAGAGCACGTGAAAAATTCCTTATTAATGTATACATTTGAATGAACAGTTTCTACAAGTCCTATACATGGCTGCAATTCCAGGTGACTACAGAATAGATAAATCAAAAACATCACAATGGCTTTAGTTACCACTGATATATAATTCCCTTGTTTTTACTTCACTGGTATTCCTTTAAAATTAAAGCTTTAAAATAAAGCATATGAAATTCACGTGTGACAGCTTTGTATCTTGAGCTAACTGGATCATTCTGAACTAACTGGTCAATTTGGTAAAACTGACCATTTAGGGATTTTTGACTAACATATTTGAAACTTATTCCAAATTTCCTGATGAAAGTATTGGTAATTTATGGAGAAGAGAAGCAGCATGCATATGTTTTAGGTATAATCATGAAAAGAATAAGAAAGGACAATACAAACATTAATTTGCCTGGCTATTCTGAAATACCTTTGAGGCACTTCATAACTAATCCACTCTCTCCCCATGAACTCATACAGAGAAGCGCTTCTGGCTCATCAGCAAATCTCGCCACGGTGTTACTGCTCCTTCAAATGCTCTGCTGTCCATCTCAGGGTAAAATAATAGAATAAAAGTGTTCAGACAACATAACATTTGGAGACAAAGAGGAAAACCCCAGCAGGCTATTCAGTCAGGAGAACAGACCAATGCAGGGTGAATGACCAGATTCTCATTAAGGGAGGCTGAAGGTTACGAGGACCCACAAAGACACCAAACTTGAAACCCATCTTTGGGCCTAAATGGACTGAGACTGTGGGCGAATATTCTTGCCCTCCTCAGTACTGCTAGCTGTGGCCACTTTTGATACCACTTAGCAAAGTGTATACTCCAAACCATAGCTCTTCACACAATAATGCAATCCTATGAGTGAGGAAAATGTAGTTAGGAACTTCAACTGACACTGCTTTAGTAGCTTAGTTTTAGTTGTTTAAGAACCTAGAACACGAGGCTTTTGCCTCTAGCCTGCTTGTCTCTAAGTTGCTGACATTTTCACTGTTTTACTCACAGAAACCAATCAATTATATAATGTGCATACTGTAGCTTTACATTGATGTATCACACTGCAAAGCACAACATAGAATTATGGATGGCAGCGCTTACCTAGTCAAAAGATCCAGGCCCAAAGAAATAATGATAAACTTAATGATTAAATGATTATGAACTTTTAATGATTTAATGTCCTTGATACTATAATTTTAGTAACCATTTCAAGTCCTGTAACCATTTCAAAAGTAGTATGCTCAAAATGAGAATTCAGAAATCTGAACTTTATGATTGTCATTTCAGCATTTCCACCTATCTTTAATCCTTTCTACCTATCTTTCATTGTTTTAATCTAGTGGTGATTTGGTTCTGAATATGCTTAGCTTTTCTTAGTTTTGCAATGCCTTATGTCATTTTTATCAATTCCAAGAGCCCTTGCCCCGTTTGTTTTCACTGTACAATCTATCCGTGAGGTAATTCATGTCACACTTTCCTGCAGTTCACAGGATCATGTTTTGCCACAATGCATGAGGGTTATATATGCTGTATGCACCCGAACCCAGGTATGCACACAGTCATGCCAACCACATGTATGCTTGCTTGCACACACGTTCAGGAAATCTGCACTGTAGGATGCTGAGCTCCTTGGCCAACTTCTCCTAGATTCCACTTAGATGCTACAGTGTCACATCTTCCTCACTGATCACAGACACCTTCCTTCCCCACGTGGCAGGTGCTTGCTTGGCTGATCTTCAACTGCCACCCCAGAAAGGTCACTGCCACATCTAATCCCAGGGCAGATTCGCTCTCTGCTCTGGATCTGCATCTAGCTATGGTCATACTTCTTGCCACCTGAAAAACAGCACAGTTGAACTACCATGAAAGTAAAGACCTTATTTCAGTCATCAGTGAATCACCAGCTCTTCTCAGTACTCGTGGGTCAAAATCAAATTTGGAATGAATTCATCATTTCTAGCCTCACAGGGTTCTTTATCTAGTTTTCAGCTCTTGTCCACCTCTTTTCTGCAGCCATTTGGCTGGAGGCTTTTTAAATAAGGAAGATAGTGACATTATCTGACCTCATACGTACTATATATCAAATGGAATCTGTCATTGTTTGGCGGACTTTTTATGTTTTCCAAGATGACAGGAAATAATTGCAGAATCTGAGGCCCAGCAATCACTTGTGTTCGGCTCTGGTGCGAGCAGCTCCCTAGAGACCCAGATCTCATTTCTACCATTCCTTGTGAAGGCATGGCCACCTCTCCACCAACACCTGCGCTAAACCTGAGAAATGGCATCTGCTGTGGACTCTGCCCATCTGCCAAGTAAAATGGCTTTGCTCTGGCTGCATGTCAGACCCCAAGGAGTGAATGGGATCTTGCCATACTCTTTTTCAATTCTCTGAAGCTGCTGTATAACCTTAACTCTGACATTTTTCACAAAAATCAAGAGAAGAGCCAGAAGTCTCTCTTTCTGGGCCTTCACTGGTGGGGGAGTGCCAAGTCAAATATGCCGAGTGCTCAAAATGCAGACAGAACAGGTCTAAGTGCTCTGAGTGGAATTTAATCCACACCTATAAATTTATTAGTATGATGACTAACATCTAATATTTAATCCATATTTGATTCTTACCAGCACAAAAAAAATCCTTCTTCAAAGTCTTTAAAGAATAAGGAAAATGTATTACTTTAAGGAACTAAAGGCCCTAAGGTTGGGCTGACTCTAGGAATGGTAAAATGAGGACACACAGGTAGTTGTAAGAATGGAGATCAGAGTCCCTCGCATTTTCTTAAATCTTTCTAGCTGCCAGAGCTAACCCCACAAATCCCTCAACCAAGTGTCTGCTTTACACATTTCAGTGACTTCCCCTGGGGTTACAGACCCACAGTGGTACATGGATCCTTCTCAGCACCCACCCACTCCCTCCTCCACTGCCCAAACAGAAGCACCAGGTCTGCTTCCAGAGATAACCAACCATCTTGCCAATTCAAGGTAGGAATCTGGGGCACATGTAGGAGTGGGCATTCTGTGGAAATGTTAAAATCTGGCTATACAAATCGTGGGCGCACTTACAACACGACACAGGATTTAACATTAGTGTAAACGTCTGAAAGTAACATTCAAATAATGTGCCATGTTGTTTAATGAAGCGTGAACTGAACAGCCCTCAGGCAGTAAGGACTGACAGGTTGAATTTCCCTGGTAAGGAACCTGAAACCTCTGGGAAGTAGGGATCTAAAGGTGTTGTACAATGCCCTTTTCATTCTCCAAAGTGGCCTGGCTTGGATGAGCCACCTGCTCAGCTACCCTTTACCCTGCCACCTTCATGGCTCCAGAAGACATTCCTTTCACCAAGACTTCAGGAAATACCTTAGTGTGGAGAACATCACATAGCCCTGTTGTTGCTGTTCTCCACCCCCTAGAGATGACAGTGGGAAACACTGGGATTGGAGTGGCTACCCTGATCTCCATGGGACTAAAAGGGGGAAGAATGAGAGTGGCAGAAGCTAGTGACAATACTTAACCATTAAAAGACAACAACTCTATTTTTGTAGTGCTTGATATTTATTGAAAAGGATGCTGACTTTTTCCAGGTGGTATTGAAGAACGGGGTTGAGTGCCTGTCTCTGCTTATTTGCTTCATTGTTTTTAATATCTTTTGTCCAAATGCACACACATCTGTGTAGGACTGCTATGATTTCTGGAAAAAAAAAAACAGCTGTGCAAAACCGATGCTTAAGAGAAAACAAATGTCAGTGTCTGGGCTGCCAGGCACACGAGGCTCCTGCGGCAATCTAGTATGGTAGGGCGGGAACCTGGGAGTGGGTTGAAAACTAATCAGGCTGTAGAGACTGGTCCTTTCAGGGACCAGCGAGCTGTCCAAATCAATGTCCAAAGAGTGCAGGCAACTCAGGCATCTTCTAGGTTGGTCCTTGTGTCCAAAAGCAGTTAGTCTGTAGGTGGGATGCAGTACATGGTGGTTAAGTAGTGGCATAAGTCTCTGGGCAGATGTAGCCCTGGCAGGCTGGTGGGTGGTGTGACCAGCTTAACAGGGGCCTGTCCAATGATTTGGGGCCAGAAGAACTGTTCACAGAAGCAGAGGAAGGGGCCTTGGACTGGCCAGAGTTGACACAGCATGCTTCAGAGCAAGGCTGGTAGGCCCGCAGCTGATAATTGGAGCACTATTCTTGGAACAAAGACAAGCACTACGGCTGTAGAGGACAAAACAGAGGAGAAAAAAGCCGGCAGGAGAAAAGGGGCTGCATGCTGCAGCTCCGGGAGCGGCAGGGATGGGGGAGGCGGTGTGCCAGTCCCTCCCCCTCGAGGGGGAGGCCCAAGGGGCTCCAGGCCTAGTAATCATCCTCTTCATAGTCCTCGTCGTCCTCGTCGTCATACCAGCCGAAACACTGCTTCATCTCATCGAGAAAGGCCCGGTAATCGCTTAGGATGGGGCTATCCGTCTCGATGTAGGGCACCACCCACTCCTCGGCCTCCCCAGTCAGCAGGCTGATGAGGAACGCCACTTTCATGGCGTCGTTGCAGAATCGGTTCTCATTCACCAGCATGTAAGACGCCGTCTGCACGATAAACTCGGGGAGCCGGGCGCTCTCGCCGTTAAACGTTTCGGGGAAGGGCACCGGGCAGCTCGGCGGACGTACCTGGCGCAAAAGGGTGGCCCTCTCGCACACCAGCAGCCGCAGCTGTTCCATGAGTTGGCCGTTCTCAATGCTCAGGGCGCGGTGCCGCACCAGGAGCGCGTGGAGCAGCAGCACCAGCTCGTCCACCATCTCGATTTGTTTGGAGGACCTGGCTCCTCGGTTCGGTTAGGCTGGGCCAAAGGGCACTCACACCTCGCTAGAAGTGCGCGCGTCCTTAGAGGCGCCGGGTGGCCGAGGTGGGGGTGGGGAGAGGCTGGGTCCGGGCGGCTGCGCAAGCCCCGCCCACCAGGGCCCTCGGCCGGCCAGTGCGCCGGCGCGGCGGGGTGGGGCGGGTGTGGGCAGGGTCGCCACAGCGGCGTGTGGGGGGCGTGGCCAGGGCGCGGCGGGCCGGATCGGATTACAGACGCTGCGGGGGAGGGCGTGGCCAGGAAAGGAAGGACTGGGTCTCAGGGCTGCCTTTCAGGAGGCTGACAGACACTGGTGGGCAGGCGGGATGTGGGCGGAAGAGCGAATGAGCCCTGTGCCTCATCTATCAGAGACTGCCCACCTGCTCTGGCTGAAGCCTTCCTCCCGGCCCACGCAGGGTACAGAGGCTGCGATCGCTAGGTTGCTTTTGACACGGTGTTTTCTTAACACTTCCTTCTTTATTTAAATCTCAATCAGAAATACTGACTCTGCTGGTTGCATCGCTGGAGTGCACATCCTTTCAGAATCACAAAGACCCTTGGGACCTGCCTTTCAAGATAAAGCAACACTAATGATACTGTACACTTCCCTTTTAAAAAATCTAAATAATAGCTTCAAAATAATAAGTTCCGCAAAATCTACACCCAATTACCATTTGCAGGGATCTTAGCTTTGACTTCTTCACATTACAGTTGGTGTCCTTATTTTTGGGTAACATTCCTTGAATCACAAGCAGTGAACCGCGAAGAGGCGTGTGTTTTGAGATAATTCTGATTTCCCTTTTGAAATGTGATTATTGAAGTAGTTGACAGCGGTTGGCTCCAGCAACTCTGAGCCCACACACAGCGCTAGCTTTGCTTTAAAAACAGACCCTTGAATTTCATCACTTCTTAACACTTTTTGGACTGCTGCTCTGATCCCAGCCTTCCTTTCCCAGCCAGATCGCTGCAGATGCTCCTCCTAGGCTGTTACGCTCTTCCCGGATATTCTTCACAGCGTCGTGACAGAAATCTTTCAGAAGAAACCTTAGATCCTTTCAAGCTCCTGCTCAAACCCTCCCTTCTCACTGAGCAAGAAGCAAAATAAAAACCCAACTCCTGCTCAGGACCTACCAAAGCCCTTGCCTTTCTGCTGCCTCTGCCCTGGCCCATGGACTCATTTGCCCTTTCTTTCAGAGAGGGCCTTCATGGCCTTCCGTACTGTCCTCACACTGCTCTCTGCTGGCGTTCTCTCTCCCCTTTCCTCACTCCACTTGTCTGCACCACTTTGACATAGGCATAACTACCATGTTGTATGGGACTTTAGGCCTCATCTGCTTCTACATTAGAATGTGAGTCTATGCAGTGAAGGACTCTATTTTGCCACCTGCTCTTTCCCTAATGGCTCTAAAAATGCTTGGTCCCAAGTAGGGGCTCCATGAAAAAAAAATTTTTCAATGAAAAAAATGCAGTAATCTCAGGGTGCAGATGTTGAGATAAGATTAAGAAATGATAGCTACAAAAAGTCTACAAAATTAGGGCTGGCCAAATAGCTCAGCAGATTAAAGCACCTGCAAGCAGGCACAGGGGCCAGGGGTTGGATCCCTGGTGTGCTGAGAAGGCAATTGAGTCTGGGCATGGTGGCAGGCCCCTGTAATCCCAGCTCACGACAGGCTGTAAACAGGTAGATCACTACAAGTCCAATCTAGTAGTGAGACTCTGAACACCCTGTAGACCCTTCCCTAAAAACAAAACAAAACAAAAAAAAATGTATTCTTCAAATTGCCCAGTACAGCATGGTGTGGTGGTGCACCGCTTGTAATTCCAGCATTTGGAAGGCTGAGGCAGGAAGAGTGAGATCTTGCCTCAAAAAAATGAAATTGTCCAACATGCTCTTCACTTGTGAATCAGTCTCTATTGTGAAATATTACTAATATAATTTTATAATGATGTTACTCATTTTTTACACTAGAATTGAGTGATCATCCACATAAATGGGAAGCTAGGAGACAGAAGAGAAGCAGAGCCATAACCCAGAGCCAAAACAGAGAGAGTAGGAGGAGTAACACTGGTTAAATGGAATGGTGGACAAGGAAGAGGAAGGAGGAATGTGAGCCCTTGCTCTGGCCTGGGCCAGGAGAGCCCACAGTAGACAATAAGAAGACAATGAAATTCTTTTTTTATATGTGTCATGTTTTTTATTTTTCAAAGAGAGTACAAATTAGAATTAAAACAAAAATTACAAGTTGTACATAATTTCCCTTAGCAAGGTAATATGAATCCCACAGTATTTTTTGTAATACATAGTGTTGTCTTTGAACCAGTAATTCATGCTACCAGATACACGCAGGTAAAATTGGAAAAATAAAGAAAAAATAGAAATAGATGTATAGGACCTTAAGAAGAGAAAAAGTATAAACAAATGAAAAAAGGAGATGGAACAAGTGAAAACATTAACGGCTTCTTGCCATAAACCCGCAGAAGCACACAGTACAGTTGGCAGAAGCATCCTGCTTGACTGCTATGAACTCATTTATTTCATGGGTGGATTCATATGTAATGAATTTTTATGGACGGATTTAATTATGAATTTTCATTTTGTCAACAAAGATGTTTTAAAATACACATACCAATATTATCTTTTCCTTAAAATCAAGGATTTCTTAAAATCAAAAATAATATCTCATATATAAGCTCAATCTTCTTTTTTGGAGGGAAAGGGCCTACAGGGTGTTCAGGGTCTCACTACTAGATCAGACTTGTAGTGATTTTCCTGTTTTCAGCCTCCCAAGTGCTAGGATTACAGTGCACACCACGACAATGAAATTCTTGAGGCTGAGCAAAGATCTGTTCTCACACTTTTTAAAATTTTTTAAACATTTATTTATTTATTTGGTACAGGGTCTCACTATACAGTTTGGACTCATAGTGATCCTCCTGTCTCAGCCTTCCCAGCATTGGGATTATAAGCTTGCGCCATGGCATGAGATTGAAACTGGGTCCTTGCCCTTGCCAGGCAGGCACTTAGATCACTGAGCTATCTCCCCAGCCCTACACTTTCATATTCGGCATCTTGAAAGTGTTTACTATGAGCTCTGTCAATGTTCAGCAGCTACAATGCAGGAAAAGGGGAGAGGGCTATCAGAAATAAACATCTGGTCATTGTGCCCATTTGCAGCGCAGGGTTGAGGGTGGGTGTGGCCAAGGCACCACCTATGCTAACACAGGAGAGGCCAGCTTGAAGCTACTGCATACTCCTATGTGAACAGGAGTGTACACCTGGCAGCCTGAGACCCCAGAGTCAAATACTTGCCTAAAAACCAGGAAACCCTTCTGCTGGCAGAGCTCTCCCAGAGTCCCATTCTTAATTTGCATGGCCTTCCACAGAACAATTAATATGTCCTGAGTGTTGTGATTCTAGTGAGTCCTTGTAGCTCTGTGTGTTATGGGTCAACTCTGCATAGGAACCAGATCAGCCAGATAGAAATTTGAATAGAGACTTTTATTTACT